GAATTGCGGCGATCGGACACGTCGACTCTCCGAATTGCGAAGCTGGTGCGCGCAGGAGTGCGAATTGTGCAGAAGGCCACCCTAAGGCTCGGGAAGGTCCTATAGGAATCCATTTTGGGTTTCCTCATGTCGGTTTCATCCTTCTAAGTGTTAGAAGTCGATACCGCACACGCGAAACTCCAAAAGAGGACGGAAATAGGTCGAACTAAAAACGAGGCGGGCACCACTTCTAAGGTTCTAAGATAGTCAAGGGATGTCCCTAAGGCTAGATCCTAAACCCTAAGAGGAAGACTAGACCTCACTAAAAATGAGGTCAACAGGTGGATGCATTCTCAGTCATATCATCTGCCACTCTCTGCTTCCTCTTCAAAATCTCCAGAAAATCGTGATCCTAATCGGTAAAGACCACGTACCACCCCTGTCTCTCCCTTATTCCCGCTACCAGATTTGTCCGATGGCCCCCTCTTTCACCCCTTTGGCTAGGAGGACCATTCTCTCATGATCAAAGGCCTGGTTCAGATGAGCCAGAAACTGCAATACTCATCATTTGTGAAAAGATCTCCCATTTCTTGCACCTCAGATCACCACAGCTCGATATCAATGAGAAATGATCAAAATCTGCCTATAGCTGCTCTAGATCTATGGAGTACTCTTAAATCGATCTAACCCTGATCTGCTGCCTCTATCTCATGCAGAATCTGGAACACCCTCATATGATTTTCAGCTCCAGCATATATTTTCTTCAGCTTCGCTTAGTTGTCGCTCACCTTTCGAATGTCATCCATTGATGAGGCAATTGATGGAACCATCGAGTTGAGTAGTCAGTTGTAAAGCAAGACATGTGTAGTCCTCCACTCGTCCCTCTCAGTACTGTCACGCTTTGGCTCGACCCCGTCAGATGTCCCTCTAGTCTCTTCCCTACGAGAACAGTCTCGAATCGACTTAACCAACTCTAGATATGTTGCCAATCCATCAACTTTCATATCCAAAAAGGGGAGATCTAGCTTTACCTGTGTAGGAGCACCTGCTGAGGTAGCAAATCTCGTCGAGACAGTAGCTCTCTATATAAGCTGACCAAGACTTTCAAAACTTCAGGATCTATCTTCACCAAAAGCTCCAAGCGTGTACCTCCCACACTTTCTCTGTCTCATGACATACTCAACTTAACTATTCCCCAACCTTAGTCGTCCTCTCATACATGAAGAACCAAAGTTCTCTCCTCCACCATGCTGGTTTCACACACACTTCACCCCTACCCTGCACTGAGCCGCTCAAACCACTTTACGACGATCCAGTACTTGAAGGTGTCGTCGGTTTAGTCTTAGGGCAAGCCCGTGAATCGTGAGTTCACACCCCGATCCCCTAGTTGTGGTAGTTGCCTTCACAGCGACTGTTGGGACCACATCACTAGGGTTCTATTCCACGATCCCGTTATTGTCTTCCTAGTGGCTGCATCTAGAGGTTCTTTGCCGCGATCACTTAGTTGCCATCCTAACGAGTCGCGATCCGCTCATTGCGAGCCACGATCCCCTCGTTGTCTTCCCAACAAGCTCTAGTCACAGTTGCTTCGTGATGACGAAGTGGAAGGAAAGGAAAATGCGAGTTACGGGTCTCTGCACCAAGGAGCAGCCCTAACGATGGCTGGCTGCTAGGGATAGAACTTTGATACCAAATAGGAATAATTGCTCAAAAACCTCTAGTATTCATAAAAGACTCGAGTTTATATAGAGTCTTACAACATTCTTTATAAATAAATTTCTACATTTATTCTATATTTTCTATTTACAAATAGAACCCCAAATTATATGCAGTACAACACTATATTAACTTCTGTAAATATCTCCCTGAACTTGCTAAAGCAAATACCTCCTTAAATGAAAAAAAATGCATACTTGCAGAAAATGAAACACTAAACTTGCAAATTGGATATTCTAAATAAAGAAGTTCAAATCAACTACACAATTCAACCTCTTTTTTACTCAGATGCGATCTTCCTTGCCTAAATGTTGTGAAAATGGACAAGCACAACCTTTAGTTGGTAGCACGTGCACCAAATGACACGAATGAAGGGAGAAGTGCTGTAATGGTTTGTAGTTATTAGTTAGACTAACCCAAATAGTTTGGAGAACGAAGGATTCATGAAGTTAATTCTGGATTTTTTAGGATTCAGCTTGACAAGTTCTGAAAAACCAAGCAAGATTGGTATAGTTGTTGTGTAAGTGGGATCTTTGAAGTCTAAACAGTAACCGCTATTGTTGCTATTGTCCTTTAATTTTTTTTCCCTCTTGGGTTAAAATCTAATGCTTCAATCTCTTCAGCTAGCCCAACATTGTCTCAATGAAACATTGTCGAATTTGCAAATTCAATAATATTTCACTTATTTATTCATGGACAGGTATGTAGACCGATCATGCATGATAAACGCTTCCTTGATGGAGCTGTTGCCAGGTACAAGGGTTTTCTTCATCTGATTAAGAGGAACCGGGAGCGGTCGATTATATGTTTCTGTGTACCAACTTATGACATAGATCTCATGTGGCATGCTCACCAATTGCAGCCTATTTCTTACCAAAAAGACATGCTAGAATTGCTCGGAAAAATACTAGAGCATGATGACACAGATTCTGATAGAACGAAAGGGAAAAAACTTGACACCGGTTTCTCTGATACCACCAAACAATGGGAAGATGCATATGGCTCGAGGTATTGGAGGGCCGGAGCAATGTACAAAGGCGCTGATCTACCTTTATTAGATACCTCTTTGCGCTTATGTAATTATAATCAGAGAAATACCCTTTTTCCTCACATGACGAAGTTATTCCTTCCTCTTCAACGTACAATGGCCGTGGAGGTGATAACAAAATCTTCTTTATAGTTTTCAGATCTTTTTTCTTCTGCAAAATATCTTTATTTCTTGAATATCATCATCATCATCATCATCATCATCATCTAGCTATTTGGGTTGGGTTTATGAATCATTATTTTTTTGGATATCAGGAAGGATAAACAAATCAAAGTAGTGTTTTGCGTAGAAGTTTACTGTTAAGTGGCTTATGAGGAATCTATTTGCTTTACCTTTTTGAGTTACTTTTATTTTAACTGAAGCTTAAATCATGTGACGTAGTTTCAAGTTTCAGTCTATAAGTAGAAATTTTAAAATGAAGATCTACTTCGCATGTTGTGGAGAGCATATGATAATTTTCTAATCCATATTGCGTTGCACTCATGGGTGTAAACGAGCCGAACACGAGTGAGCCCAGTCTCAGGTCAAGTTAGATCGTTAAAAAATACCACTGTTCATATTCGACTCGTTTATATTTCAAACACAAAAAATTTGTTCATGTTTGGCTCATTTGCTTAGCGAGTAGAACTGGAGCTGTTCGCGAATAAAGATCCGTTTTTACAACCCTATTCACACAGCCGTTGGATGTTAAGGGTAAGAGCGAGATTTAAATTTTTTTGTTTATATTTAAACATCACTTAAATATAATTTTAATATATTTTTATTCTATTTTTTAATTATTAATTTTAATTGATTATAAATCTTTTTAGCCTTGTAGATAATTAAATTTTCTAAAAATACTACCCATCAATTTAATATATATATATATATATATATATAATTTAATTATTTCGAACCAAAATGACGAACAAATCTTTGTTCTTGTTCTGCTTGTTTATTTATTGAGTGCAAAAAAATTATTTGTGTTTGACTCATTTGCTTACTGAACGAATCTAACACGAGCTTCTTAATGAGCCGATCACAAACTGTTCGTGAATAACGAGCCGTTTGACAGCCCTAGTTGCACTTAGCAATCTGAATACATTTTCCTGCTTTTTTGTTCCTGCTCTGGAAATCCTTCTTGTTGAATTCTTTTTGGGATGTAGGGTCCCGTACACTTGGGGTACCACACGATTCGGTATAAGGTCCCGAGAGCCTCCTGCTTGAGGAAGATACAGAAAAAAAGATTATAAAAGAAACATTTAGGAAGTTTCGGGAGTCCAAAAAGAAGTTTCAGAAGTAGTCCCCTTTCCTATATTCCCCCCTTCTTTTATATAAGATGTGATCTTTATTAAGATAAGACTTCAGCTCAGGGGAATGACTAGAGACTGATGATGTGATAGTTTCCCTCGTCTCAATCAATGGGTTTTGCCTCGGGAATTGTAAAAAATATTTCTTATTGTTCTGACGTAGCTTCCAACTGGATCGAAGCACTTCAGATAATCGAAGTTCGAAGACAAAGTGATCTTCTCGGTGAGCGGATGTGTTTGGAAATTGGAAAAGATGATAGACTGGTTCAATCTGTTCGGGTGATCGACAGTCTGATTCTTCAGATAAGGTGTGAGTGCGTGACCCGGTATTTAAGTATACATTTAGTTCCCCGATTCTCTCAACTTTTTGACAAGGTGCCTATGATGTTCTACGAGAAATAGGGAATGAAAGAAGATTTCTTTGATAATTTACTGGTCCCTATAGACTTTCGAGATAAAGATAGAGTGTGCTTGTTGGAGGAGAACGAGAGGATCATCTCATGTTCGTTAGAGAGTAAAGCTGAGAATAAAGAGCTTCAGAAACGGATCGACAAACTAAATGAAACTCTGAATACAAAATCAAGTCCTTTCGAAGAAGAGATTGGTAATCAAATGGTGTTAAAGTTCCAGATTTCCGAATTAGAGGAATTCTTGGAAAATAAGAAGACAAAAGTAGGGCTGTCAATTTGGCTCGTTGTTCGTGAACAACTCGTGTTTGACTCGTTAAGCAGCTCGTGTTCAGCTCGTTCGTTAAGCCTAACGAGCCGAACACAAACAAATTTTTAAGCTCGAAATGTAAACGAGCCGAACACGAACAACAGTTTGTTCGCTCGTGTTCAACTCGAAATGGCTTGAAAAAAAAATTATATAACTTTTTATATAACAATATATTACATATATTATTTATATAATAATATATTATATATATTTATGTCTAAGTTTAAATCATAACACCTCATGTGGCAATGTGGTTAGTGTCTT